GAGTGCAGGGCTCCATTTACTCTGTTTCCTGCGTTCACTCGTCGTTCTATATCCTTATCATATCTCCCATCCCTGCTAAATACGCAACCCAAATATACAAACTCATCTACTTGCTCGATCAACTCCCCTTCTATTCTTATTTCACATATCGTTTTACTTTCATCTCTTTCAAAAACCGTCATTTTTGTCTTACTTGCGTTCACTTTCATACCCCTTTCTTTTAATGATCTGTTCATTAATGTAACCATCATTTGCAACTCAGCCGCCGACGACGCAAGAATAACTTGATCATCGGCGTACAAAAGGCATTTGATGGTTAACTCACCCATTCTTAATCCGCATTCTTCAACTTTCAAATTTTGCAAACAACTGTCCATAAATAGGTTGAACAACCACGGGGAAGCCACACAGCCCTGTCTGACACTATTTCATCTATATCTTTCATTATTTCATCTATACTTATCTCGCTACCTCCTTCCTCTTCTTTCGGAGTTCCTATTTCATTCAGTTCATACGTTGTCTCCTCACTCATAAACATGCTTTCAAAATATTCCTTCCATCTCTTTAAACTCAAAACTTCATCATTCAGAATATAGCCATTCTCATCTCTTATAGCATTCATTATAGGCTGTTTTGAACATCCCCTGGCAGTTCTTACGAGTTTCCAGAACATTTTAATATTTTTTTTCATTTTAATATTTGCCTGGAAGTTATCCGATATTCTTCTATCATTCTTATCCGTTCTTTCTTGCTTTTTCCTTTCAACTACTTCTTTTACTCTTTTATTTAGATGTCTAAAGACTGCCTTTTTTCTTTCAAAATCATCATTCGTACCGCTAGAATTACCAGCCTTAGTTGCTAGTAAATCTAGCCATGCTCTCTTCTTTGCTTCAACTTCCGTACGTATCTCATCATCCCACCATAACGTATTATTTTTCCTCAAAAATTTAAGGAAATTAATATATTAACTCTGGCCTCTCAATACATTTATGAAAATGTAATGTACGTACACAAAAATAAAAGTAGTTTTGCGAAAATAAGTGATATTCATTCTGTAAATACTAGGAGCAGACACAAGCTGGTAGTACTAGTTACTCGACTCCACCGAGTCAGTAATTCATTCTTGGGGCGATGTATACGCTTTTACAACAAAATCCCAGAAAATATACAAAATTTGTCATACACAAAGTTCAAAAATGTTATTAAACTAAGTTTGTATAAAAAGGGTTATTATAATATTAAGGAATTTATAGATGATAATAACCCCTGGGAAGGGTGATCGCTACCAAGCTATTTCTAATTTGTTTTGTGTTGTTAAATTGTAACATACATGATTGTAAGTTTGTAAGATATTATTTGAAGAAAATAAATAGTCCCGCTGGGTTTCTTGCTGGTTCTTCCCAGGTCAGAGGTCTTTTTTGCGAACCAGTGGTAAATGAAAAAGGTGACTTTCGATAAGTATTGTTCATAATCTATATTGAATAAAAAAAATTCTGTTTCATTTTCAGCACCGAACCAGTGGTAAATTAAAAAAGTGACTTTCAATAAGTATTTTTATAATCTACATTGAATAAAAAAGTTTCTATTTCTATTTCTATTACTATCTCTGGACATAGTTCATTTCAAAGTTAAGAGGATTTATTCAGTCTTACCGCTTGATTATTTATAACATATAGTACGTGAGGGTAATTTATAATATAATAACCTGGTCAACATCGTCACTTTCTTATAAATCAAAAACTTCAGCCTTGTTTGCATAGATAGCTTTGTGTTCTTAGTTTGTGTTACGATACTTCTTCATTGGTCGATCAAATTATAAAAGAGTCAAAAGGTCTATACTTTATCCACGCCATTTTGACAGTTAACATTGTAACAAATATTTTAGTCGATTTTAGTATGGTGTAGTGTACTTCGTTTTTAAAAGTAGATTTTTCAAAGTGTTTCTAATTATTGCCATAGCTTGTTTGCTATTTTTTTCTTAATATATTAGTAAAAACACAAACCGTATACTGTGACTATATCACAGTATACGGTTTGTGTTTTTGTCTCTGTCCTTCCCGGGATAGAGCGGAAAAGATTACATATACATTTACTATCCTCTAGTTCTCTTCAGGCCGTAACTAGATCGTAAACGATTATATTAGAATACTACATTTAAATTAATAGTAATTGCAGCTGATATTCAAAGCTATACTTACAAATGAATAAAATTGAAGTGTCTATTTGTAATGTAAAAGCAACAGCTATTTACTAACTGCATGTGAAACTATATACGGTACTCACAAAAAAAACAATTTTTAAAATTTCTGTCTGTCTGTTTGTTCCGGCTAATCTCCAAAACGCCGGGATCGATTTTAACGGGACTTTCACTGGCAGATAGCTGATGTTATAAGGAGTAACATAGGCTACTTTTATTTTAGTAAAAAGAATTAAGGTTTCGCGCAAAAAAATTTATTGTGAATAAAATACTGTACAAATAGGGAATTATAATGATATTTTACTAAAATCTATGCATACGAAGTCGCGGCTACATCTTGTATTAAATATACATCATAAACGATTGACTTAAAATTAGATTGTATTTGATCTATTCAAAAGATTTTTTATATTTTCAAGGAACCCATCAGTAACTTAAACAGTAAACGTAAAGTTACAACCTATATACGTTCCACTGCTGGGCACAGGCCTCCCCTCATTTCTGAGAGGGTTTTAGGGCAAGGAAGTGTCCGCCGCGCTGCACCAATGCGTGTTGGCGAACTTCACATGTCTTCGAAATAATTTTTTTTCTTATTCCTCAGACATGCAGGTTTCCTCACGATGTTTTCCTTCACCGCCGAGCACGTGGTAAATCAGCACTTAAAATTGCAATTAACAATTTCATTGGTGCCGGCAGGACTCGAACCCGGGTTACTCGCGTTCTGTTATATTTACATCGAACGTTAACCATCTGAGCTACCACGGCTCGTCAGTAAGTAACTTACGCTTGTTTAATTTGGGGCGTCAAATACGAAACGGTTGAAAATCACTTTAAATACGCGAAAACTTCAAACAATTAAGGCATTATTTCGCGTCGCTAACAACGAGAAGTAATTAGCGAACGCCTCGACTTTGAGCGTTTTAAAAAGAAAACTTTTGCAAATGCCTTCTCTTTGTTGGGGCCTATTTTCATCAATCTCGACCTCTGTAAGTGTCCCTCGAAAAATCTATTAACGTCAAAACGTTTGATGATGTCGTATTGAACTCCCTTCCTCTCAATTGGACGTTCGATGAGAAAAGGAAATACGCTATTACTGTATATAACAAATCAGTGGACCAATTTAAAGGTCCATTTTTAATATCCGCTCTGGGTCAACAGCCTTTCCCTTCGCACGGCCTGCCTGGAACGTATTAGACGACAGCGTTATATTAAAGTTCACATTCTAAAAGAGCATTTTCAGTACTCGTTACTAGTCTATTAGGTATAACAGTGGTGACAATAGCATTATTTGTTTCGTGTTGCTGCTGTTTAATATAGTAACGACGTAAGAGGAATAAAAAGCGGGTAAGAAAACATGACTCTTATTTTTAAAGTCGAGGGGTCGTCTTTAGAGTGAGTGTATTGTGATAGCATCCCAATTGAGTTTGTCACCGGATATTGTAAAGTGTTCGCAGTTAACCGACACATTGTATAGAGAAACATTGTAGCTGAGGCAGCTCTGTTGCCCTCGAATTCGTGCTTGGGACCGAACTCGTATTAATTTCATTAATTGCTGCAATTAAGCAGTCCGAAATTGAAATGGGCAAACGTTTAATCGGAATATCTCGATCGGGATCCCAATCTAAAAAGTAATTTCATTAAAACGCAGCCTCTAATCCATTACGTAAAAAAATTCCCTAACTCGTGTTTACATCAAGAGCTTTTCGATGTTTGTTTGGAATAGTTTAGTATTGGGTTTATTGAATGAAATAAGCATAAGTGATATGACACCACTGCTAACCTATACCAAGTAGTTTCTATGTGTTGGATTTAAATATCTGCTATTGAATCTATATATTTTAATATCTACATATCGGTTGACTCTCTAAATATGTAAGGCAGTCAGTACCTATTCAATACAACACGGTGATACGCGATTTTCGATGGATTTGATTTATAGATAAATTGTAATATTTAATTATGTTAACACGTGTTGGTTAACTATGCTACTCTAAAACGAGTTTATCCTACAACGAAATCGTATCGTAATCGTGTTTAATATAAAACTATCTTATATAGATATATCTATCTAATATTTTGCAATATATATATAATGTTTCACGCATATATTATATAATAATATTTCACGCGCTCATGGTTCAATCGAAGGTTGATTCAGTGTATAATGTTGTAAGTATTTTAGATATCTTTCACGTTATTATTATATTCTTGAAATCGATGTGAAACCACTACGTTTGATGTTCTGTAGTGACGCTATGCAGCAGCGGTATATGATACTAAACTTAGTCTGTTGCCAGATGATTAGATATTGGATACTGTACCGATATCTATTGTATTTGTATACGATTTGTATCGCCCAATACTACTCTAAAAAGAAATAAGAATGCCCTTATTTCTTACGCATAACTGTAATTGGTATCTGAAATATACAATATATTTGAACGTCCATCAATACAATATTTTTGGCAAAATGTTCATTTTAAAGCCTTGCAAAATGCGGCTGCTTTAATTTTCAATTACTATACGCTATATAATATAATACACTGTAATTTGTCAATAAGATTACAAGGTATACATGATTGAAATAATTACGGCAAACCATTTATTCACGCAAGGGTATATTTCGTAACGTATATCATACCGATTACAATCTGATACAGATTTAATGTCGCAAAGCCGACGCATCGTATCGCAATCGTGTTGAGTCGAGAAATCATGTCTATATTGATATATTTATGAATTAGATATTAGGCTACTAATCAATAAGATTCTCAATATAATCCGATAAAAACATTGCTTTAAATCAATGATTGGCAGAAAATTCCCTACCTGGTGGACAGACGCAGTCGTTAACATCTCTCTTCTCCCTCTTCACGATGTCGTTCTCCTTTACCTTCTCCATTGGCTCCATCTCGAGCACCGTTCTTCTTAACCCCCTATGCTTCTCCTCGAGCAGCGAAAGACGCTGCTCCAAGCGATGCTGGCGGTATAAACCATAACCACATAGCGCCAGAACAATCAAATAACAACACCATTGCACTGCACTATTCACACTCACTTTATCCCACTCTTTGCTCGCGCGCTTCGGAATTTGGTTTGCCATCTCACTGTTGTCACTCAAACAAATTCATCCATTACTACCAAGGAGCGCAAATTCGAAGATGTTCAAGGGTAAGTCAATCGTTTTTTGGAGCCAATTCGTGCAGCTCACTGTGACCGCAGTTCGTTACTGGGGGCCCGACAGTTCCCGCGATCTCCCTCGGGAAAGGAAGTCGGCTGTCCGATGTTAACTGCCCTTCTAGTTGTGTCGATTACACGTCGAGTGTAACCCTTCCGAACTTTGATAGACGTGTTACATCGTTATTAGGCGATTCCGGATGCTTTAGTTAGTCGCACTTACTGGCAATATTTTAAGTTATGAAAAGATATTAGGACTAGCGACCGCGCCAGGATAAGAATGTATGTTATATGGCATTATTTAGTTTTAAGATAATCACAGACCGATTATTTTATAAATTTTTAGTTTTTTCTAATAGCTTAAGTTTTTCCGCTAAAATATAGCCTAGATGCCTCCTGGCATTGCTGATAGAAAATCAGTTCGTAAAGCTTCATGACAATTCATCATTCCAAAAATTAGCAGGTTTGCTCACGATGTTTTCCTTCACCGTGGAGCACGTGGTTTATAGCACAATTTCGTTGGTTCCGGCGGGGATCGAACCCGGTTTGATCGCGTACTGTGAAATTTACAGTGAGCGCTAACCATCTGAGCTACCACGGCTCTTATACAATCAATGTTATAAACAGACACTTAAATTTTATTTATTTATATGTATATAAATAATTCCAGTTATAGTGCGATGGCTATTTTACTGGCATATCGTACGCAGCAACATTTTTTTGGCGGCTTTAAGAGAGAAAGAGTTTTGAAAGAGACGGAGGAAGCTGTAAAAATTTTATTTGTGTGATCACTAATTATCATTAGAGAAATAGAATTTTTAATTTGTATAATTTTTGTATTTATTTATGTATGTCTTTTTTTTTAGAATAAGGGTGACAAGCGAGCACACAGTTCACCTGATGGTAAGTGGATGCTGTGGCCCACAAACCTCGATTAAGAATCAAAACGCAGATGCGTTGTCACCTCTGAGGACTAAGACGGAATGCCTCGTTTCCAGTAAAAAAGGTCTATGAATCTTTACACTCACAATACGAAACACAGCAGTATTAAGTTGCTATTTTACGCTGGTATTCTGTGAGAGCGTGGTCCTTCCCCGGTCGAGCCTAGCGAATTTTGCTGCAGCCTGGTTCTACCATGTATATATTATAACAAGTCTATATTATAACAAGCCATTTTCCAAAAAGGCGTTAGTACTTAGTACCATAGACCACATAAGTACCCTTCGGCAAATTGTACAGAGGACCGAGAAGTGCAATCTGCTACTATGTCTTCCATATGCAGAAATCTATGCAGTGCTACAAACTCTACAGCGGTATTATGTTGAAATGCTGATTTTTGTATGATAATAGAACTACGATGGCTATCCGAGTACAGAACTAACTGTACGAAACCTACGAACAAGGATGTAAGTACCACTAACATATTCTCGTTACATTATATTTGTAACAAGAATGGGTTGGACGTCATTCTCACAGAATACCAGCATATAATTCTACCTTGATGCTGCTCTGTATCGTATGGTGAGTGTAGAGAACCGAAGACACTTTTTACTGGAAATGAAGCATTCCATCTTCGTCCTCTGGGGTGACAAAGCATCTACGTTTTGATTCTTATTTGATAAAGTATGTCTGTGGGCCACAGCATCCACTTATCATCAGGTTGACTGTACGCTCCTTTGTCACCCTTAGAAGGAACCAACATCCAACAGTGAATTATAAAAGACTGATCATAATTGATTAAAACTACTTTTACGGATTTGATCGCGTTGTCAATCACTCATTCTCATTCAACTCATTCTCTCAATCTCCGTTCTTCACTCAGTTTATTACTGTCCACTCCTCTCCACCATTCTGGTTCTATGTCAAATGCTTTCAAAGTTACTTCCATCTCCCTTTGGAATCTCTGTATATAATGTATGTGTTGCATGTATATATTTGAATTGAATTTGTTAATGACAACTTAACTGCCCATAACTCACTCTGTTCTACCCAAGGTTAGCAGGTAGAGAGTACCATATAGCATTAAGCTCCCCATTTGTACAAAATCTTTGGTGCAATAGAGAATAAAATAATAATAATATACATATACGTCCCACTGTTGGGCACAGGCCTGCTTTTCTGTGAGGGTTATCATCAGATGGGCTGTAAGTTAGTTTGTCACGTTAGTTTCATAAAAAATGGAATAATTTTCTTGCTTTCCTGCCATCTGAATGAAAAACAATCAAAACAAAGATCAAGTAACCCCAACAACAGCAATAACTAAAGTAGTAAATTTGCATTTATATTACTTATACATTCTCCTCCAATCGCCTAAAAGACAATTAAGGGTATTCAGGGTCTCCTCTTGTTTTACACCCGGACTAATGTTAAGGGGTGGGTAGAGATAAAAATGTAAATTTCCAAGTTAACCTACGGGTCGCATTAGCGGGGACACAGCCGGGGGACACGGGATCTTTCATCTCCCCTCTATAGGGATGGTAATAGCAAGTTTATATTTTTATCTTAATAAAGACAGAGCAAAGGAAGTAATTTTAGTGAAGCATTGTATTGAAGTAAACAATTTTTTTTAAAAACGTTATCTCCACGCAAGGATTTTGTCCCGTATCGTATCGTTTATAAACACAAATTGCACAAGGATTAACATCCAGGCTCGGAACAATTACTTGTAGGCCATACAAATACTTGTTCCGTGCGGGATTCGAACCCGCGGCCCTTAGCGCTGCAACTCATTGCTAAGCCACTGCGCCACGGAGCCGTCGTTTAAATTCGTCGTAAAAAAAGTCGTGATCTTGGGCACAGTAATATTATCTATAGATAAAATTACCGTGTCTTGGGGTCATTCTTAATAACAAACTTAGCTTTATAGAACATATGGATTTTATAGATAATGTGGTAACGCGTTAATGGAAAATGTTAGGTTTTGTTAAACGTACATGTAAGGATTTCAAAAATGCTCAGACTCTGATAACTATCTATAATGCATTAATTCGTAGCAGTTTAAAATATGCCTTGGTGATATGGAATTCTTCTTATAAAATTCACATTCACAGAATCGAGCGTATTTAAGAAAACTTCATTCGATTCATTGCATATAAAGTTCAAAACTGTCCATACTATAAAGATTATAACTTTAGGCTTTCTCATCTTGGAATGAGTTCACTGGCTGACCGACGAAAACTTTTAGACTTAATGACGCTACATAAACTTCTACACGGTAAGTTAATTTCGCCAAGTTTAGTGCAGCAAGTGTGCTTTAAAATCCCCTATCATATTCCTAAACACCCAGTTACTAATTTGTTCAATATTCCCATCAGTAGAATCAATTTAGGCAAGTTTTCTCCGTTAAGCAGATGTATGCGAACTTACAACAGCTTAAACAATCATGACATCGACATCTTTAGCGACCCCGAACGTGTATTTAAAAGAAAATGTAAAGACTTACTGTTACCTGCCTTGCCAGATTAATCTTCTTTGCCCTCGCCTCTTCCCGTTACGCGGGGTCGGCTTTCTTAATTCTTCGGTGCCATTCAATTCGCTGATAAGCATCATCTTCTATAAGGCCGAGCTTTAGCATGTCCTTCCGGACATTTGTCAACCAGGTAGTTTGCGGTCTACCTCTCCCTCTCCTTTTCGTAGCCATGGAAAGGCACTTTTTCACGACATGGTCATCGGGTCTACGCATAACATGTTCGTACCACCTTAGCCTGGACTCTGTAATCTTATCAGTGATAGGCGTTACTTTGAAACTCCCCCTTACGTGTTCGTTACGTACTTTGTCTTTGAGAGTGACTCCACCCGCCTAACGTAACATGCGCATTTCAGTGGCACGAAGTTTTCGCTCATGGATTTTCGCCGAAGCCCACGTTTCGCAACCATAGAGTAAAACAGGCCTCACAGCTGTTTTATAGACCTTGCCTTTGGTTCTTATCGGCATTTTTGGATCGCAGAGGACTCCTGTTAATGTACGCCACTTATTCCACCCAGACATCGTTCTGTGCGTTATGTCGGCTGTTATCGATCCATCTTTCGCGATTATTGCTCCGAGGTATTTAAATTTATTTACTCTAGGTAAGGCTACGCCATCCAATTTGACTTCTGCGCTTGATGGTATAGTTTCGTCGGGATTGAAGTTGCATACCATGCATTCTGTCTTGGTTCTGATTATGCGTAATCCGTTTAACTCTAGATATTTCCTATATTGCTCCAAGTTTTCTTGTATCTCGATTACACTGCCTAAGATGAGCGCAACATCATCTGCATATAAAAGATTCCTGGTGTGGGTTTCTGGATTAGGTAGTTCATGGTGATATTAAATGGCAAGGGACTTAGTGCGCTTCCTTTATGAACTCCTATCTTTGTTGACTTTGATATCGAAGCTCTCCGACAGGCCGGCTGGACTTCTGACACAGGTTTGTACATTATGATACATGTCCATAATCAGTTTTATATCGTGCTCAGGGACATTTTGGCCTCTCAGAGCTTGCCATATTATGTTTCTCGGCACACGATCGAAAGCCTTCTCGAGAGCTATGAATACCATCCAGAGATTTTGTTTGTTTTTGCGAGCCATGACCAGTCTGATTGCATCGATCGCGTCTGTTGTTCCCCTCTGAGAAGTAAAATCGAACTGATTTTCTGTTAAGTTAATGAGGTTTTGAAGGCGTTCACTTAGAACTCGTTCCCAGATTTTGAGTGTGTGTGATGTGAGTTTTATACCTCGATAATTTGCACATTCCCGTATATCTCCTTTGTTTTTGTAGAATGGGACCAGTACACTCTTTCTCCAGGCATCTGGCATTTTTTCGCTTTTCATGATGTTATTAAATAGCTCACAGAGCCGTGCCTCTCCTACAACTTTTAGAAATTTCCAGAGCTCAACAGGAATGTTATCTGGGCCTACACTTTTATGGATCTTCATTTTAGATA